GTGTAGCAGTGCAGACAAAGAGGATGGAGACAGACATGTTATGTGGCGTAATGACCGGGCTGAAGCAGGTGCAAAAATCAGCAAATGATTTGGCAATTCCCACTAAATAAGCTTTTTGTACGCTGCGTCACGGCACATGTGTAGCAGTGCAGACAAAGAGGATGGAGACACACATGTTATGTCTGTCTCGTGGAGTAATGGCCAAGCTGAAGCAGGTGCAAAAATCAGCAAATGAATGCCCGCTTCTTGAAAGCTTTACAAAACACCCATCTCGGTCAACTGCGGATCACATTTTCAAGCCCGTTTTGTGTGGCAGGTGTGGGACGGTCAATTATCATCCTCTTTTAAAGATATAAGATTTTAAAGCTTTTGGAGGGTGGAAATGCGACCGGGGTACGACAAAGCTCCATGCTAGGATTCTACGGGGAAAGGGTGTGCAGAAGAAGAAACCAAACATGTTCACTGTGGGAAGCTCAACAAGCGCAACTTTTGTCCTACCAGTGCGTCACGGCACATGTGTAGCAGTGCAGACAAAGAGGATGGAGACAGACATGTTATGTGGAGTAATGACCGGGCTGAAGCAGGTGCAAAAATCAGCAAATGATTTGGCAATTCCCACTAAATAAGCTTTTTGTACCCTGCGTCACGGCACATGTGTAGCAGTGCAGACAAAGAGGATGGAGACAGGCATGTTATGTCTGTCTCGTGGAGTAATGGCCAAGCTGAAGCAGGTGCAAAAATCAGCAAATGAATGCCCACTAAATAATTTTTTTGTACCCTTCAGGAGGAACAAAGTTTATGCTTCTTGAAAGCTTTACAAAACATCCATCTCGGTCAACTGCGGATCACATTTTCAAGCCCGTTTTGTGTGGCAGGTGTGGGACGGTCAATTATCATCCTCTTTTAAAGATATAAGATTTTAAAGCTTTTGGAGGGTGGAAATGCGACCGGGGTACGACAAAGCTCCATGCTAGGATTCTACGGGGAAAGGGTGTGAAGAAGAAGAAGCCAAACATGTTCACTGTGGGAGCTCAGCAAGCGCAACTTTTGTCCTACCAGTGCGTCAAGGCACATGTGTAGCAGTGCAGACAAAGAGGGTGGAGACAGACATGTTATGTGGAGTAGTGACCGGGCTGAAGCAGGTGCAAAAATCAGCAAATGATTTGGCAATTCCCACTAAATAAGCTTTTTGTACCCTGCCTCGCGGCACATGTGTAGCAGTGCAGACAAAGAGGATGGAGACAGGCATGTTATGTCTGTCTCGTGGAGTAATGACCAAGCTGAAGCAGGTGCAAAAATTAGCACATGAATATCCCACTAAATAAGTTTTTTGGTACCCTTCAGGAGGAACAAAGTTTATGCTTCTTGAAAGCTCTACAAAACATCCATCTCGGTCAACTGCGGATCAAATTTTCAAGCCCGTTTTGTGTGGCAGGTGTGGAACGGTCAATTATCATCTTCTTTTAAAGATGTAAGATTTTAAAGCTTTTGGAGGGTGGAAATGCGACCGGGGTACGACAAAGCTCCATGCTAGGATTCTACGGGGAAAGGGTGTGAAGAAGAAGAAGCCAAACATGTTCACTGTGGGAGGCTCAGCAAGCGCAACTTTTGTCCTACCAGTGCGTCAAGGCACATGTGTAGCAGTGCAGACAAAGAGGGTGGAGACAGACATGTTATGTGGAGTAATGACCGGGCTGCAGCAGGTGCAAAAATCAGCAAATGATTTGGCAATTCCCACTAAATAAGCTTTTTGTACCCTGCGTCACGGCACATGTGTAGCAGCGCAGACAAAGAGGATGGAGACAGGCATGTTATGTCTCTCGTGGAGTAATGACCAAGCTGAAGCAGGTGCAAAAATTAGCACATGAATATCCCACTAAATAAGTTTTTTGGTACCCTTCAGGAGGAACAAAGTTTATGCTTCTTGAAAGCTCTACAAAACATCCATCTCGGTCAACTGCGGATCAAATTTTCAAGCCCGTTTTGTGTGGCAGGTGTGGAACGGTCAATTATCATCTTCTTTTAAAGACGTAAGATTTTAGAGCTTTTGGAGGGTGGAAATGCGACAGGGGTACGACAAAGCTCCATGCTAGGATTCTACGGGGAAAGGGTGTGAAGAAGAAGAAGCCAAACATGTTCACTGTGGGAGGCTCAGCAAGCGCAACTTTTGTCCTACCAGTGCGTCAAGGCACATGTGTAGCAGTGCAGACAAAGAGGGTGGAGACAGACATGTTATGTGGAGTAATGACCGGGCTGCAGCAGGTGCAAAAATCAGCAAATGAATTGGCAATGTCCACTAAATAAGCTTTTTGTACCCTGCGTCACGGCACATGTGTAGCAGTGCAGACAAAGAGGATGGAGACACACATGTTATGTCTGTCTCGTGGAGTAATGGCCAAGCTGAAGCAGGTGCAAAAATTAGCACATGAATATCCCACTAAATAAGTTTTTTGGTACCCTTCAGGAGGAACAAAGTTTATGCTTCTTGAAAGCTCTACAAAACATCCATCTCGGTCAACTGCGGATCAAATTTTCAAGCCCGTTTTGTGTGGCAGGTGTGGGACGGTCAATTATCATCTTCTTTTAAAGATGTAAGATTTTAGAGCTTTTGGAGGGTGGAAATGCGACAGGGGTACGACAAAGCTCCATGCTAGGATTCTACGGGGAAAGGGTGTGAAGAAGAAGAAGAAACCAAACATGTTCACTGTGGGAGGCTCAGCAAGCGCAACTTTTGTCCTACCAGTGCGTCAAGGCACATGGGTAGCAGTGCAGACAAAGAGGATGGAGACAGACATGTTATGTGGAGTAATGACCGGGCTGAAGCAGGTGCAAAAATCAGCAAATGATTTGGCAATTCCCACTAAATAAGCTTTTTGTACCCTGCGTCACGGCACATGTGTAGCAGTGCAGACAAAGAGGATGGAGACAGACATGTTATGTCTGTCTCGTGGAGTAATGGCCAAGCTGAAGCAGGTGCAAAAATCAGCAAATGAATGCCCACTAAATAATTTTTTTGTACCCTTCAGGAGGAACAAAGTTTATGCTTCTTGAAAGCTTTACAAAACATCCATCTCGGTCAACTGCGGATCACATTTTCAAGCCCGTTTTGTGTGGCAGGTGTGGGACGGTCAATTATCATCCTCTTTTAAAGATATAAGATTTTAAAGCTTTTGGAGGGTGGAAATGCGACCGGGGTACGACAAAGCTCCATGCTAGGATTCTACGGGGAAAGGGTGTGAAGAAGAAGAAGAAGAAACCAAACATGTTCACTGTGGGAAGCTCAACAAGCGCAACTTTTGTCCTACCAGTGCATCACGGCACATGTGTAGCAGTGCAGACAAAGAGGATGGAGACAGACATGTTATGTGGAGTAATGACCGGGCTGAAGCAGGTGCAAAAATCAGCAAATGATTTGGCAATTCCCACTAAATAAGCTTTTTGTACCCTGCGTCACGGCACATGTGTAGCAGTGCAGACAAAGAGGATGGAGACAGGCATGTTATGTCTGTCTCGTGGAGTAATGACCAAGCTGAAGCAGGTGCAAAAATCAGCACATGAATATCCCACTAAATAAGTTTTTTTGTACTCTTCAGGAGGAACAAAGTTTATGCTTCTTGAAAGCTTTACAAAACACCCATCTCGGTCAACTGCGGATCACATTTTCAAGCCCGTTTTGTGTGGCAGGTGTGGGACGGTCAATTATCATCTTCTTTTAAAGATATAAGATTTTAGAGCTTTTGGAGGGTGGAAATGCGACCGGGGTACGACAAAGCTCCATGCTAGGATTCTACGGGGAAAGGGTGTGAAGAAGAAGAAACCAAACATGTTCACTGTGGGAATCTCAACAAGCGCAACTTTTGTCCTACCAGTGTATCTTATCTTATACATATGTATGTTTTACTATGTATATTATATATTACTTATATATAATATGTTATATATAATATGATATATATTTTATTATATATATATGTTTTGTATGTGTATGCTACATATACTACATATATTATGTATTATATTGTATTATACGAATACTTAAAAATATACATTTACTATCTTTATATGTATAGATATCATATTTTTTAATATTTGGTATATATATATTATTTACTTTTTTACATTACATCGTATTTATTATTTTTATGTTTTATATATATTACATATGTTTTTATATACATTCTATTTCCCATGTATATGTAATATATTTCATGTATATTTCATATATTGTTTATTTAATATATACTGTATTTATTATATATTTTCTATATTATATATATTATATATAGTATACATATTTATATATATATATTTTACATTATATATATATTATACAAAATATATTTTATTTATTTATTGTATATTATGTATATTATATGCACATTATATATCATATACTATGTTTTTTATCACATATTTCTTTTTCAATATATATATATATTGTATACGTTATATATATATATATATCGAATATTTACAACAATATACAGTATAATATTTAATAATTTTATATGTATATGTATTGTACTACATATTTTTTTTATATATTATATTATATGTATTTTCAAAATCCCTAGATTATATAATATATATATATGATTTATTGAACACATTATATATTTATATACAATATTGAGCATATACCTAATATATATATACAATAGTATGAATATGACATTATTTACACTATATCGTTTTTGTATTACTTTTTACTACACATGTAATTTATTTGATATAGAACATAGAATACGCAATACGCAGTATACAATAGATATATGTATATATATATGTATATGCATTATATGATAAGATCAAGTAGTAATAATTATACATAGCTCAATACATGAAAAATAAATATGTACTATTACAATATGCAATATGTGCTGAAACATGTATATATATATATATATGTGCTTTGTTGTATGGGTTGTATTCTTTCTTTATGCGTGCTACACTGCGTCTACTGCTTTGTTGCAACAATATTGGTTGTATTGCAGTCTGAGGTGGATGATTCCACGAAGGCCATCGTTCGTTCAACTTGGGTTTCCAGTTGTTGATTCTGCACAATGTTGACAAATGTGCGAACTACAGTTGCCTAGCCAGGCTAAGGTGATTTAGGTTGCCAAGGATGTAAATGTAAAGAACCGATACAAGTGTGTCTCCAAACCGCCGCGTGTCTTCAAACTGCCTTGCATCATTGTGTTTTGGCCGGAGACCTTGTTTTCTTCTGAAAACTAATCAAGAGTCCTCGTAGATGTGCTGGCAGGTGTAGCTTCTCATTTCAAACATATTTGCCAGTACAATACACGTTTTTGCCAGCTCTTGCGACAAAGACATTGCACAAATATCACAAACGGTGAAACATCATTGTCAGCATACGAAGTTTTCACTCCGACTAGGACAGTGGCATGCTACGTCTTAATACGTCTTAGACAGGAGGAAACCCATTGGCACTAGAGCACTGTTGGTTTATAAAAATTATAAATGAGCGTGCACGGCGGGCACTTTGACCAATGGAGTCAGACCTATCGAGATCACGAGAATGGCAGGGACAGGGACAACCCAGATAGCCAAACCGGGCTGTGCCTTGCGGCGACACAGGGTGCCTTTGCTGTGTGGCTTGTGGGCGGTGTGGCACTGACCTGGGGCGATCCAGAGGTTGGTGGTGATAGCCATGATGTGCAGAACCAGCTTCAGAACGTAAAGCAGATTGCTGCGTCAGACTACGCTTTCGCTGCCATTTCAGCAGTTTCAGATCGAGTTACTCAAGTTGTGACCTGGGGAGAGCCAGGTGCAGGTGGTGACAGCAACAGCGTCCAAGATCAGCTGACCAATGTCTGTGAAATTTATGGGTCTCATGCTGCATTTGCTGCACTCCTGGCAGATGGCAGGGTTGTTACATGGGGCGATGCTGACTACGGCGGTGACAGCAACACAGTCCAAGAGCAACTCACAGATGTGCAGCAGATCAGATGTACAGCTAGTGCCTTTGCTGTGATCTGTGCAGATGGACATGTTGTTGCTTGGGGTGATCCTGAATCTGGAGGGGACTGCACTTCTGTGCAAGATCAACTTGTAGAAGTGTCTAAGCTTTGCGCATCAGGTGGGGCTTTCGCTGCAATACTTAAAGGTGGAAGTGTTGTGACCTGGGGTAACCCAGAGGCAGGTGGTGAGAGCAGTGAAGTGCAGCATCTCCTCAATGTGCGAGAAGTTGTCGCTTCTGGTGGTGCTTTTGCTGCAATCCTAGCAGACGGATCTGTCGTTACCTGGGGCGAACCAGAAATTGGAGGCGACAGCAGAGCAGTCAGAGAACATCTAAAAGAGGTGAAACAAGTTGCTGCCACAAGTATGGCTTTCGCTGCACGCACTGCAGGTGGAAGAGTCGTGACCTGGGGCCAACCAGAGTTTGGTGGCGACAGCAGTGAAGTACAACATTTGCTGCAAGACGTCCAAGACATAACAGCATCTGTCCTTGGCAGTGCATTCGCTGCCACCCTGACAAATGGAAGAGTCATTACCTGGGGAGATGCGATTTCAGGCGGTGACAGTACCAATGTCCAAGATCAACTGCAGAATGTCTGTAAGATCAAAGGATCTGGCAGTGCTTTTGCGGCAATCTGTGCAGATGGTAGTCACTTAAGACTTGTTACATGGGGAGATCCTGAGTCGGGAGGCAGCTCTGACATTCGCCAGCTTCAACAGCTCTCAATGCACTCCTCCGCAGATCCACATCTGCCGTAGAAATGCTGCTGTTGGATAATTACGATGTCTTATGATTCATCTCAATCATCTCAGCTCGCAAGGTTTGTGTCAATAGTCAATGCATTGTTCAGTCCTATTGTATTTTATTGTCAATCACTTCCTTATTGTTAGGAAAGTCCGTTCAACACTATCATCACTATCGTTCAAAACATTTGTTTTGTACGATGTCATGTTTTGTCTGCAAGTGCCCACAGTACAGCGCAGACTTGGAAGTGTTTTCATCCATTCTCCCATAATTGGAACTTCGGGAAAGTCAATTCAGAATCAGTGGTGAAGCCAATAATGCCAATAGGCCAATTTCAATAGTATCCAATAGTGAAGTAACTCGCATGCTGACATCTGTACTCCGGCACTCCACGATCAAAATTATGATTATATTTTATATAATTAACCCCTTTTCTGTCTCCGTGTCTCAATCACTAAGACTAAGACAAAAGGTCAAATCTTTCCATACCATAGAATTCTGGAAAACTTTCTAAGTGTCTAAAGTGACAATGCGGTTTGCTAGCAAAGCCGAAGAATTCCAATTCATTTGCTCATAACTCTCAACCATTCTCCATCTGTGAAACCATGTGTCAAGTAGTTAACATATTCCAACAAGATTTGCACCAGTCTTGTCATGTTTCAGGATATATTCCGAGGCTTTTAGGGGAAGGATTCGACAAAAACTCCGTTTGCTGCGCGTCAGTTGGCAAAACGATGATCAGCGGACTGCAGAGTTAACACAACAAGTGCAGCGTGGCCGTCTTTCTCCTGAGGCGGGGCAATTTCAGATCCTCTCCAGCTCTCCATCAAGTTTTTTTTTTTTTCCGCAAATACAGCAGCCTATCAAGATGTAACCAGATGTAATAGCAGTCCCACCATGTCCCATGTTATGCTTGTGGTTTTGCGACAAACACCAGAATGATGCGCTCACGAGACATGGCAAGGCCCTGGATTTGCTGGAGAAGGTCATGACGCTTAGGCCTGGTGCTTGATGTGCTTGCACGAGACAGGAATGAACGGGTCCCACCGAGTCCCACAGTTTTCAGAAAGTCTGCCCAACTGTCTCTAGCTACATCATGTTACATCCAACTATGTCATACAATGTCATACATATGTCATACTATGTCATCTATGTCTAGCTTTGCTTTCTTATCTTTCTCGAGAAATCACAGTTCACATGCAAAGACTATCCTCTGCTTCTTTATTTGCAGATGTTCTCTATGTTCTCTACTATCCAGCATTTTTGGGGAGAGAAGAGGCGGATTCTGCTATGCCATGCTGAACTCTTTCTGTTCCTTTGGAAGCTTTGAAGTCGATGCAAGTCAATGCAGGCAGTCCAAGCGCAGCCGGCTGGCGAATCCTGAGATCAGGTGCTTCGCCTGGTGCTGTGAATTCCACCTGGCATTCCAGCATATTCCAGCATATTCATAGCATATTCATAGCATATTCTAGATTATTCTAGGATTCCTGTATCAATGGACCCATTGGGAATTTGCCACGCACGGTCTGACATAGAGACATAGTCGCACTTCCGAGTTTGCACTTGATTGACCTTGATGGCACAATGTCGCCCAAAACCTGTGGGGAAGTCTGATGCCATGCCACACTTGATTGGTAGATACTTGATATATCTTGGTTTCCCTGTCGTTACTCTTGCCCCTACTCTTGCGCCCAAAGTCTTCAGAGTCAAGGGTTTGCGGAGCTAAGGCAGCATGACTTCTTCCTCAAGGCGCTGAATTGCCAGGAACCAGAATGAAAGGGTAGGAATTCCGGGAACGGGCGAGGCAAGCGGAGAATCGAGAGACATTTGATGAGGTGTTGACATGATGGATATCGGACAATTGACAATTCGGATATTGAATGAGACTTGTTCGGTACCGAGCTTTGGAAGATGGGAGTCTCACAGGAAATCGAGACTGATAGCTGTTTTATGTTTTTAATAGAGCGGATTAGCTCGGTCTCTTGTTGTGTGCAGCTTCTGCAAAATGGGAAATCATTTACAGCTGAAGGAATTGGATGGTATTGATTTGCAGGGCTTGTTCTCACCTGTTGAGGCATTGGGAAGGACCAGGAAGGATGCAATACGATGCAGTGACTCAAATGATATGAAATGAAATGTAGTGAACATATTACAGGGACATACAGAGACATACAGAGATTACAGAGACATTTTTGACTGAACCCTTTTGAGACTCTGCAGGATCTTGCTGCTCACTTGCTGGGTGAAGCTTCTCGCAGATCTATAAGCGTCCCATCACCAGTCCGGAGAAGTCAGCCTTCGCATCCGTGATAAAAGCTGCGGCGCACGGAGCAACTGTGCAATCTTGGAGCAGTTGTACATTATTCAAAATTATTTGTACATTGTCTTTCTTTGTACATTGTCTTTCATTGTTCATGACATTCGTGCTCTTGATATCCTTCCACTTCCACCTTGTGGCCCCGCATGCCATTTGCCCATGGGGTATTTTTGGAATTTGACGACCTGCATGCTGGAACAAGGGGGAGGTGGTTGAATTCTTTTGGTGTTCCGTTTGTTTGGTTTTTGCGGCTTCGCATGTCTTGCTCGAGCTAGACTGGCACCCACCAAAGGTGTGCATTTGCTTGTCACGCAACATTGCCAATGACTGCCAGTGCAAGATCAGGGAAGTGTTCAAGCTTTTGATGTCAACCCGTTTTGGACCCGGAGCGACAAACATTGATAAAACCACGATTTGACAAAATGATCTACTGACTGTAATTGTTATTGACGTATAGACCGTATAGACTAGTATAGACCATTGTAGACCCGTGGAAACCACTGAACTTCTTGCGATTGCGTCAGACTGACATCGATGGAACCCAAAGCTTCAGCATGAGAGCCTCCGCTACTGAGTGGGGCTAGTGGTTTGCGATGGAGGAAGAAGGCAGGAAACTCAGCAACACTACTTGATACTACTTGTACACCCTGCTGTGTGGCTGTTGACGTCCAAAGGTTTCAACATCACTAGAAACCATGCTTGTGCCTGCAAATTTCAAGTTCGACCCAAGATTCCGCCTATGCAAGATTGTCATCAAAAACCAATATCAAGTACAAGCGACTTGTGACGACATGGAATTGATTCATGTAAGTTTCGTTTCTCCCCCAATATGCTGACATGGTGTTTTGTATGTGAAATTCTTCAAATCAATTGATTTGTCACATGACTTTGACACTTGCGTCCACATGTTGTTTTGCACATTTTCGCTAGCCGAAAACGTAGCTTTGACGCATCAGCTATAGCACTTCTAAATGTAGCGTCTACCTTGTTTTGCACTGACTGCACTGACTTCCTGAATGCGGTGCGTCCCATGCGTTTTGTATGTTGTTTTGGAGATTGCACTGACTTTCACGTCTGGGTGTACACTATCATGTTGTATCATATAGTCCAATCTATCTATATCAGGCTGGTGCAGAGCATATTTAATTGTATTTGACGTCTGCTTGAAAATCCATCCTGGGAAGAGCTCGCTCAGGCGACAAACAATGTGTGCAACATTAGATGCTACATACACATACATACACGCTCTCTCCTAGACCAGTTTAGCATATTCTTGTGTAAACTGTCCTTGCGAGGCTGTACTATATTTCATTTTATTTTGCTTCCGTCTCCCACAATATGTTCGTACAGTTTTCACAGAGCCCGCCACATATTTGCTGTGTTGTTGTGGTGGTCAGCCACTACGAGGCGCTGATTGACTCGTCCGTATCCTTTTTTCCACCGTGGCCGGAGTCTTTTGATTTCACCCATTGTATCGGTTCGATGGTAATGTTTGACTGCCAGAGAGTAATTCACATGTTGCTGGGTATGCCCAAATCATCCCCAGACAGCGCTGGAACATGCTAAAATATGCACGTCGTAGAATTGTTTTGAATCTCCATGTGGCATGGGCACGCATGCCGCGTGTGCGGTCCGACACATACTGTAATGGTGTCCTCGTCATGGCCTTTTCTTTGTCCCCACTTTTTTGCTATCCCCAAACCGAATGGAGGTGATGATGTGGCCGTCCCAACCAAGGCACAGATCCTTTGGGTCCACTGGGACTACAAATACAGTCAATAAGAGTGGTTCAATATGTTCCAACATTGTTCAAAATTGTTTGACATTGTTCAAGTGATTTCAACAGGTTGTGTGGTAATGTGTGGTAGAGAACTTCAACTTGGCCAATTTGTAGCCAATCATAGCCGATCCTGTCCTGGCCCCTTCAAAATTTAGCTGATGTAGCTTCAAGATGGGAGTGCATTGAAGAGGTTTTCTATGGTTTCCTGCTACCTTCCCTGTTCAAGAATTGATTGCCCTTTGACGTATGTTTCGCCTTCATCTGAGTTGAAAAAAACTCCAGAAATCTTGTGAAATGATGAAATGTTTCGAACATTTTCGAACCAGTATTCTGCATGTTTGTGTGCATGGCTGCATTTAGTCTCCTTGGTCCCTTCCAGCATCTTGCAGCTATGAGGTACATGGTTTTGATCGCTATGACGTGGCAGAACGGTGCAAGGAGCTCATGCGGCGCTTGTGCGGATTCCCAGAGGACGGCCAGTGGACTCCGATGAACTCAGTGTCCACAGATCCCGTGCAAAAAAAAGAGAAGATTAGGGCCCGCATGGTCCGCATGTGCCGGCGGTGCAAATCAGTTCAGTGGACTTGGCTAGGTCTGTCGAGAGACGTGACAGAGCACTCAAACGCTGCAGGAAGTGATGCTATGCTCTATAGTTTTTTCTATTTTTTTCTGTGGTCATCCATGTTCGTTCAAAGCATCGCTCCTAGCGCCCGACTTGTTCGTGCCTTTAATATGTTCAATGCGATATACGTGCGCAGTGATTCTCTTCCTCCAATGAAATCCATAGAAATCCTCCAAACATCTCTGCTTGGTCAAGTCCAGTGAGCAAACGGCAATAAAACAGCACTTGCAAACCTTGCAACGTCATGAGACTTTTGTCCAGCTCCCCCAGGTCAGCATCGTCTGGAAGCACGGGGCCCGAGTGGCTGCTCCAGCTCCACTCAGTCCTGAGTTGCAGTGAGTTGGCCTTACCTTGATGGTATCAGTCTGGTATCAGTGATCAAAGGGGATCGTTCCTGATGTGAATTCCATTCTCAACATGCTGATGCATGAGAACACATTCAAATATGTGTGTAATAACTGCAATATATACGTGTATTGTCCAATCCGTATAATGTCGCCGTAAGATTGTCGCACATGCAGACTTGTCAGGCTATCATTGATTTTTCAAGGCAATTAATCCAAACCATCCCAGATGTATTCGAAGGATTTCGAAGGGTCGTTGTTGATTTTGTATGATTTTGTGATATTTTGTCGAGACCCGTTGTCGGATTTGCCACACTTCGATGCGTGCCGCATGAGGCTCTCCTCAATGGAAGTGGGACATCTTGGAGCTCATGGAGGTCCCTTTGGGTAGAGGCATCTGAAGTATTTTCCTACCAACAAAATCGAATCAATTGATTAAATACACATAAAATCACATAAATATATAAATACTGTACCAGCAGTGGAGTTGACACAGTATTCAGTATTCCATGGATTTGATACAGTATTCCATGGTCTTTCATCCTGCTTTCTCTCATCTTCATACAGAGAAATATAATCTCCATCTTCTCCTTCAAGAAGCATTCCAAACAACTATTTCATAAACCATCTACATATGTCATATATCATATATAGTATTATATATATAGTATTATATATACAGTAATATAATATAATATTAGATATATACGATCTAAATCTGCAATCTACCATCAAGACCATTCCTG